GCGCCAGTTACCTTCAGCCTAAATTTCTTTGTTGTCCTGCATTTTATCGCAATGTTCGGGTGTCCGTTTCATTGTTACACAAATTTTCGGGTTAGCTGCGGGTGTCCGAGTGTGGTGTTCGCTTGTGCTCAATTTATAGCGAGGGTGATCGAACAGACTCGTTCGTAACCAAAGCAGCTGTCGGGTATGCATCTCGATCGAACACATAGTAGCCGAGTGTGGCGTTCGCTTGTGCTTGATTTTTAGTGAGTGTGATCAAAAAGGCTCGATCATACTCAAAGCTGTTCTCTGATACGTAAGTATGTATGTCAACTGCAGGGATGTGCTAGTAGCGCGGAAGGCAATACCCCAAATTTCAACACTACTGGCGTAAACTTTTCTTATAGTTTTTCACATTCAATTACACAGCAGGCACTCGTGTACATACATACATATGTAACTGTCTACTAACCAGCATACAGATTTCGCAGAGAAACTTACTAACTTTATGACACACATAAATCTCGGCGATAAAAGCGTTGTAAAAAAATGCTTAACCAGAGACACAATCGAAAAACTTTGCGAACAAACAAAACAAAAGCCTAGAAATGCGAGTTAGTAGAATTAAATTTCACGCCTGTAAATGACACGCGGCACAGAAAACACAGAAAAGCGGAAAAAAGCACTAAGTGCATTGCGGCGGGCCTGCACATTGTCAGAGTGCAGCAAGAAGCCGAGAACAATACAGATGTGACTTTTCGAATTGGAATGCGAATGCGAACTTGTGAATGTGAATGTGAATGTGAATGGCATTGTGTGACGCCTTTTTCTTGTCGGCAATGGCAAAAATGCTAGTAAACTCAAAGCGCACAGACAACGGGACAAAGGAAGATGCAACTTGCTGGCTTGTCGAGTGTGGAGTGAATTTTTCCCCTATTTCGAAAATAAAGCTGATATTAGCCACTTGGTTTGCAGGTAGAGTGGCTTAGAATACTGGGGCTACTTGTGAGTGTGCAAACAAAATCAGCAGTCATTTATTTGAGATCTGGCCAAAAGAAATTAAATTAAAAGTGAAGTAACTTCCGGCAACTTTAAGCGCAGCCAGATATTGTATGTATGTCCATTAGACTGTATCAGAAAAACAGTTCGCCATCCTGAGTCTAAGGTATTTTGTAAGACAAAACGAATGTTTTATTTTTGATTGGCTGAACGTGTAAACCCCTTTTTATATATTTTTCGTCATATCCTCGATATTTACAGTCGGATCTTAAATTAAGATTTCTCGATGTTTTGTCTTGGAAGAGACAATTGTTTTTTCCTAAAATTCTTAATCTTAGTCTAAATATTAATCTTAATCCTAATCGTAATCTTAATCCTAATAGTCATCTTAATCTTAATTTCAATCTTAATCCCAATCTTAATCTAAATGTTAGTTTTAATCTTAATCTTAATCTGAATGGCAACCTTAATTCTAATCCTAGTCTTAAACTTAATCTTAATATCAATCTTAATCTTAATCTTAATCATAATCATAATCTTAATCATAATCTTGATCTTAATCTTGATCTTAATATAAATCTTCATCTTAATCTTAATCATAACCTTAATCTTGAACTTAATCTTATTCATAATCTTAACTTTAGTCTTAATCCTGATCGTAAGCTTAATCTTAATCTTAATATCAATCTTAATCCTGATCGTAACCTTAATTTTAATCATTATCTTAATCTTTTATTAACCTTAATATTAATCTTTAATTAACCTTGATCCTAAACTTAATTATTAACTTAATCTTAATCTTATTCATCATCTTAATCTTAAACTTAATCTTAACTCTTATCTTAATCCTAATCTCAATCTAAATCTTAATTCATATCTAAATCTCAGCCTCAATCTGAGTCTCAATCAATCTTAGTCTAATATTAATCCTAGACATATTAATCTCAATATTAATCTTAATCTTTATCTCGTTCTCGGCCTCACTCTTACCCTCAACCTCAATCTGAATATCAATCGAAATCTTAGCTTTAATCGTGGTTGTGCCCCCGCCATCACCTCCGTTTTGCTGTTTTTTCGTTTCACTGCAGTTTGAAATTTGATCCCAACGAAATTTTTTTGTTTGCTTGTAAGGTGGTACGGTCTAATGTGCATGCCTACATACACAGGTATGTACATTTGTTTAAACATCCCACACCAAATCGCATATGTGCATAAATAAAAGTCTTCTTAAGGCCATTTGAATGCACTTTAAATGCGACTGGCGCTTGCATAGTTTAGGAGTTTGGTTAGCAGCCAGTATGCCCAACTTTTGTAGTTTGATTTTTCTTTGTTTTTTGATTTTTTGCTTGTTTGAGTTCGCTTACATTCCTTTCATTGTTCTTCTTAGTTTGTTCTTGTGTCTTACTTACCGGTTGACAAGGTTGTATGGCAATCTAAATGAAAACAGCTGCTGGCAAGACAATCAGTACGTAAAATAGTCTGTGTTACTACGTCTGCACATGCGCAGGTACATACATACCCGTAAGCGACTGATTGTTGCTGCCACAAATGCACGGGCACTTACCATGCATACATACGTACAAGTAATTTGCCAGACGGTTGAATAAGCTCAATAACTGCCTTGCAAACTTAGTATTCGGTCTTAGGATTTTAGTACGTCCGTCCTTAGCCCCAAAAAGCTTCGGTCGACCTTCAACTGCAGTCAATGAACGTTTGGCATTGTTTCTTGTGGACTTCTATTTGCACATACCTATGTACATACTTTCTACAATCATCTGAAGTGCAATACTTCGCTTCTTTTGTTTGGCTTGCTTAAATCTTTTGTCCTCAAATTCGTTGCCGTTCAAGACTTTAGTGAACTATATTCATATATACATTCGCTTTTTTTTACAAGGATAATCGTCGGTTTGAGATATAATTTGCTACCTTAGAATTTTTGTGTGACCTAAATGTCACACGTCACATGTCAGCTGTTGCAGGATGACTTAATTCCACGACGCTCAAGAGCAAAACAGATAAATTCAAATGCCTTGATCAGCGCCCTAAAATGCAAGCACTTCAATACCAATTGGCAACTCTACATTGAACCATTGCTGGATCTATTTACCCGCATTTGGGTGTTAAACCACAGTCACTACGATACCGGAGTAATGCTCACTCGCTTGACTTGCCCTGACTTGCTCGACTCGCCCTGACTTGCACTTGCTTAACTTGCTCAACTTGCACACTTCTGATTTCTCACCAATTTGTTCATCTTGCTCGTTTCGCTGGAAGAGATGATTTCTCGGCTCGCTCAACTTTCTCAACGAGGGTGATGATGGTTGGGTGAAGAGACCTACAGTTATATGCTGCCTCTGAACGGCAGATAGTTTAATTTATAACCGTTTTGATGACTGTAAAACACTCCGAGGCTTTTCATTATTCGCCGAGGGAAAACACTTTTTTGAATTACCCGACCGTGATAACTGAGCGAGGTTCAGCGATTATGGTAAACAGAGAAACTACTTATTACAAGAAAGTAAAAGATTACATCCTCTTCTCCACCTAAGCTAGGAAATCATTATAGACAGTAGATTATTGCGGATATTGAATGTGGAAGAATGTGTGTGGTTCAACCGGCTTCCAATGCCTAATAAACTAGCTGGAATACGCTTGGTCTTTCCCCTCGACTCATTCTATGGATCTACATAGCGGTCTGTAGAACAATAATGCTCTATGGTGCTTTGATAAGGTGCAAGAAAACCACGCTTACCATTTCCTTAAAAAAAACACTAACACTACATGCCATCCATTTTAATGTTTTCGTATTTCTTTTAGTCTGTTTTAATTCTACAATCGGAGCTGATTATTGGGTGTTAAAGAGCTCCGGTGTGTGAATTGAAACACAGCAGTCCCATCTGCTCAATGAAAGCAAATACCTAGCAATGAGTTTTTCCTACCGGCAGTCCCGGCGGACCCAGAGTAAAACAAGTTCGTTATGTTTCCTAACATAATTTAACGAAAACTTGCATTGCAAACTAGCTTGGAAGTAGCTGGAGGGCTGAACAATGCATTGAGTGCTGCATGGCTTTCTCTATAGATACGTCAACTCCTCTTCCTCCACCTATTTTCCACATCGCAGTCGATGGTCTAGATGATTCCGAATACCTCAGCTTATAAAACCCAGGCATGTTTCCCAAAAGACAAATGAATATTGACTCCGTTATTAAGTATTCAAAAATATATTTTTTTTTTAATTTTGCACTCATTTGTTTAATGAACAAATTACATACCCAAATTTACCAGTCGAAAGCATAAAGCCTATCGCCATTAGGGTGGATATTAAAGCGTCAAAATTTAATGCACAGAGATTTTTAAAGCAATTTTCTATACATACTGTACAAGTGTAATAACTAAATATTCGAAATATTTTATCAGATCGGTTAGTTCAACTCACCAAAGGCGGTTTATCGGCCATGCGCCGACAATTATTCATTTCCGTGGGTGAATTATCCTCCTCCGAGCTGGGTGAGCGCGGCACGGCCAGTTGACCGGGCTGAAGGTGGTGGTGTGCTTCCAAAGGCGGTTCATTGCAACTGTATGAGTGAAGAGTAAATTAGTTAACTATTACGTATAGTATATATGTACATATGTATGTATATAAAGCACTCAAACATGCCTTAAGCTAATTTGTGGCAGTAAGTGTATGGGACGTCGTCCTTGTGTGGGCGAGACATGCGACATGGGCTGTTCGACGCGTAAACGTATGTCCTGCATTTTGGCTGCGAGAATTCACCCAAAAAATTTACCCAAGTGTGTGCCCAAGTATTTCGTATTCCTTATAATGTTGAACGAGCTGCAAAGAAAACAGACAAAAAATTTGGAAAAGAATATAAATTAATGCATGTTGCAAAAATTTGCAAGATATGCAAGAATTTTCAAAACTACTAAGTCTCTTAATGCAAATATTCCACCCTTTACTTATGTTATTGGCAAAAAACAAAAACTTGTTAAAAAATTTTGTGTTGTAAATAATTTGTCCAAACTTAAGCGCCATCAAACTTCAGTGCGCAAACTGCGAAGCATTCAGACGCATAAACGAGAAGTTTACCTTTTGCTTTTCTCTAAGTAGTGTTACAAAACTTTTTAAACTCTTTTAAGTACTTGCAAATTTTCAAAACAATGCTTCAATTTTACCAAGAAGATGAAGTCGAACAACAATGGGAGAAGAAAATGTGAAATAACAACAGCAGACAACGGATTTAAGCAAAGCAACAACAAAAATATAATGTTTTCAACGAAAATTTGTGCGTACATATGTATGTATGTACATTAGGGTGGTCCTTAAAAAAATCAAATGAACGATTTTTTTCAGTGTCACGCCTTCACATATAAATTTTGTTCCCGATTGCAGTCGATTAAGGCGTGTCGCAAAGTGGTCACAGGCCTGCTGCCTTTAAGGACTCAAAAAATTAAAAATATGTTTTTTCATTTAATGCCCAAAATCGATACTACTAAAGTCAAAGATATCACATATAAATTTTAGTCCCGATTGAAGTCGGTTAAGACGTCTTCATAGGGTAATCTGAACTTTGACCTTTGTGCGACCAGCCTTAACCGTCTCCAATCGGGACCAAAATTTATATGTGATATCTTTGACTTTAGTAGCATCGAAGTAGGGGCTTTGGAAATCTGATGTAAACATTTGCTGCTTACTTTTAAGGACCACCCTAATGTACATACGTTGTTATGTTTGGTTGACACGTAGATACATTCTTATATACAAATTTCGTAGTTTTTAGACATCCTGCGTGCCTGCGGTTCTCAGTGGTAGCAAATTTTGTGGCTTGTCAAAGTCTTTAACTTCATTTAAGTGGCTCTATGGGTTTTGGTGGTACTGCGTAGCAACTCTTTAGCACCACGGAGTAGCTTTTGTAATAGTTTTGCAAATATTTGAGTGGTATCGTATTTGAGATTTTGAGACTGGAGGAGTGTAGCGTAAACTTTTCTAAGCAACGCCAGCAAATGGGGAATACTTCCACAAATATAGAATATCGCTTTTCCACTGGACATTAAGGAAACTGGAAGCCACCAGGGACTAAATTAAAAAAAAAAAAGAGTTCGGTCAGTTCAAGCCCCATTTAACGAATTCAAGTCAAAGTTTTTGCTTAATTGACGAAACGTTGTTACTGCGAAGTGACGAGGACCAACCTTCAGGTCACGCTCTTCGATGAAGTCACAGGCAGTGGTAAGGCCGATCAAGAGGAGTGTCTCGAAATCGAGTCAAAGCTTTATGAAAATATGTTCGAAAATATTTCGCTGGAGACTTCCTAGGTAGGTGATCCCTGCTGAAGAGGTACCTAGAAGATCCAGGGCCCTCTTTGCCTAACGAAGATTACAATGGAGACCGACAAAGTGGTGCGTCTCCAACAGCAACAAAGCCAGGAAATCCGCATAGGTAAAAAGCTGTTATTCGTAATGAGAACAGCAAATCTTAAAATATTCGGTTCTAACGCGCAAATTCCCGAAGCTGATGTAGAGGAGATCTAAGTAAGTCTTTTTATGTTCCATCTTGTGCTAACCGCTTATAATCGTCATCCAGTTGGAGCTGATAATGGACACAACTGCCAAATATTGTCAGCATACTTAGCACAGGATAGACCGTCTTCGCCACAAGAAGTCGACTGGCAGGAACTAGTCAATTTAAAGCTCGATCTAAATTCAGGTCTTTTAATAAAAAGGTAACACTCCTATTTAATCTTTTCTAGTACTTCTGAGCTCTGTCGCTGAGCAGAATTCATCTAACGTTGTTAACCGAGGGGGCTTAAAGACCATCCGACCCGAAGATGAGACCCTCTCAGGTCAGCTTTTACTTGTACTTTTTGAGATGAATATCCCTGCGAAGGTTTCTGCTCTCTTTTATGTATATATTTCCAGCTGTTTGAATACGGCCTTCGGAAAGACCTTTACGAAAGCAGGCCCGTAACATAAGGTTAAGAAAGCACGCACCACTTGGTGAGATGATGAACAAACAGGAATATACAAAATTTGGAAAGTAGGCAAGAAAGTTGATTAAATAATGTTATAAAGTATGGTCTCGCACTATCTTAAAGCTCAGCAAAATCCTCGTAAAAGGACACTGTAAGCCAACCAGTATTATGAGATTATACGCTTTGTGGCCCGAGTCGGCCGGAAAGTTATTAGACATCCTCCTGAAAACACACTTCTCAGTGACTAGTCGAGTAGTGACTGGTCGAAGAAAATTAGACTCCTACTCTAAATACTGCGATAATCTTTTTTTAGAGGTAAAAAAAATACATTTTTGATTGTTTAGTTTCTCTCCCTCTCGGGCTCTGGATCGTGGAACCAATTATGTTTCTAGTACCGGTAATTCAGCTGCTAAATACAGCACAATCAAATTGTGGGCTTAAGGGTATTGGAAAAAGGGGACGTTCAGGCATGACACTGTAGATTGATATAAATGAGATGCCCACCAACTTTGTCATAAGTACCTAAGATCTGGACGACGCAAAAAATCAATAAGCCGCAGTGACTGGTTTCGGCGAGGGGCGCAGTGGATGGAGGGAGGAATGCAAGGTAGATGCAAGGATTTCCATAGACCAACTCATAATTATTATGAAACGACTTTTATAATATAAGTCTCAAAATAAAAGTCTTTTAAGACTTAAAAATATTTATCTCAATGATAATTATTATCAAAGGTTTCTTATAATAAAAGTTCTAATTTTCCACGTGATTTCACACGCCGATAGACATATTATTTTTTTTTTTAACTTGCTTCGCTTGCTTATTTCTTATTTCCATATGTTACTCTTCATTGTGCGGTTTCCACCGTACTTGCTTTCGCTCCCTATATTCAATATCCTCTTTAAAACTCGAGTTAAGTCAACACTGATCAACAATGATGCTAAACATTTGCCACATACACACAAATTTTGTAGCTATTTATGTATGTACATAGAAATACATATATTTAATGACCACAGGCAGTTTGCAATAAACAATGAATTTGTTAGGATAATAAACAAAAACAGGAAGTCACTTGAGTGTGGACTTTCCAAAGCTCCTAATCCTTTTTTCTGAAGCATATCATAAAACTTATCAGCTAACCACATTTACAAATTGTTGGCAATTCTCTACAGTGAAGCTAAGCAACTGTCTCAATTTTCATAACTAAACTTCGCAAACAATGAACAGGCCGAAGAAGAGACATTAACCAGAATGACTTTATGGGTATATAATAAAATATTTATAAAGCTTAAATCGTCCAACGTAAGTTGCTTGGCTATGGTTGGGTATGTATTAGTTTACGCATTTGATAATAATAATTTGATATGCCACGTACGTACATGTGTGTTTGTATTCTGCTAACTTTCTAGTCCTTTTGCTGCAGATATTGTTTACACATCATTGAATTTTATGTAGGCAGAGAGGATAAGTTTTCATTCGGTTATTCAGATTTGTGCGTATGCATGTATGTGTATGAGTACTTGCCCTGCAGAAAAAAATTACCAATTGATAAAAAATAACCCACTTGTAGTTAGCTTTTTTGCGAGATTTCTATAAAATATACAACTTGTAGTTGTAGCTGCAAAAAGCTAACTTGAAACTAGTTGACAAGTAATGCAGGAGATTGTTTTCTTTAAACGCGTTTCTTTTTAAATATCCTGCACTCCGCAAATACTTTTTCGAATTGAGGACAAATAAAAGGAAGATCGAAATTTTATATTATCATTTTGAAGTTGTGTCTAACGGAGTTCGAATATGGGACCACCTACAGTAGATAAATAAATTAAAAGAGAAAAAAAAATAAAATACAAAAAATATTTTGTTTTTCCTATTCATATTTTATGTCCAAAAGTAGTTACATCAAATGCAGAGGTAACCACGCCTGACTATTTCGCGTCCATCGCCATAGAAATTTCGTTAGCTTTCGTCAAAGAAAATATACGGATAATAGTGACTTTTAGCTCCTTCCTAATCAACTTAAAATTAGCTTATAGTTAGATAAATTTCCTGCAGGGATGTGTATCTAAAAATGTTTCGGCTTTATTACCGTTATTTGATTATTATGAACTTGAGCTTGGCAATTTGATACAATAACAGTGCATAGGGGTTTGCATGCGTATGTCTGTTTAAGGCTTCGTCAAACCATATGCTTGCGTTATTTAATAACTAACTACCAAATATAAGCTTTTGATGACACAATGAAAGGATACTGAAACTTTTCACATGAAACAGTTTTATTGGCTTAGTTTTCGTTAATGCCACAATATGATGGTTTTATATTTTGATAATGGCATCTTGTTTGCTTTTATTTGAAGTATCCTTCGTTATTAATTTTGTTATGCATCGAAAATTGGATATGCTCACATAAAAATTAATAGGGCAGTCTTAATGTCTGACCATTTGAAATTGAGAACCTTTTCCTCATTGAAATACAATTTCTTTTTAGAATAAAATTCTCGTAGATAAATACTTTTGCAATTTTAACTCAACTTTATTTGAAAATTTGAAAGAGAGTTTTCCATTTTTGAAATACACATGTACATACATACATATCGGAGCTTATATTTAATACCCTATACGTATCTGTAATTAAAAAAAAATAGTTTCTTGTATTCACACTCATTTGTGACTTAATTGTCAATCCCTATACACTTTTCAAATTTTTTATCCAGTAGTAAATCGTAATAGGAAGCTATAAATAAGGAAAGCCTTAAAATAAATATTAAGTCGGAGGCTGGTTTTAATATCAGAAAATAATTTTCGTAAAATTTTGATATTCTCAAGACTAGATATACATGCCTTGATGATGATGACTCGGATAG